TAAATTTCATGTTGAAACTCTCTTCATACACTATGCCTTAGACAGGTGTTGAATGCACTCCCGTATCATACCCTCATTCAAGGGACCCTGAATCTCAACCAAGTGGGTGGTCTGAATTACCAAATGGTCATGATTAAAGTCATTGGGAAGAATGCTCCTTACACTTGTGGTCATTGGGAAGAATTACCCTCTTACAGATAGCTAAAACGTTCAGTGAAGTCAGTGGGAACTTATCTGAGAAGCAGAAATTGGTGATTGCCCAAGGAACCCCTAACAACCTCTGGACGAACCCTACGGTTATATGAAACCCTGGTATAGAGTTGTAAACATTGTAAGAGAACCTGAGCTGGGGCTCCCAGAACTTTCAGGTTTTTATCCTTGAAGAGCAGTCTCATACTTGAATCATGGATCAACTGCTGTGCTTCGCTTCCTATGGGACCATACAAGGACAGCTACATTGGTCTGATTCTTAGGATGATTCTGTCCTAATGAAAGGGAGAATCAAGAGGTTTCAGTTGTCAACCGAACAGGAACAGAGGGAAAATCCTCCAATAGGAACACTTGTTAAGGTGACAGCTGTATAAGATTGGATTTCTCCCATTTTAGAGATATTTTCTTTCACTTGCTGTAGTGGCTGAATGGTGGTAAAGTGAAGTCATTTAACCAATTCCACCTTCATCCAAAACATCTCTGTGGTTTACTAAGGTTTATTGTACATGAGTGTCAGCATTTTTGATGCCTACATCTGTTTGTCAAGTACTTGATGCTTTCATTTTTTAAGTGAACTTTACAGAGTAGTGTTCACTTGCGTTTACACCAATCCGCTAGATCATTATAATCTGACAGCAATACCCATTGAGGCATGGACTCCACTAGACCTCTGAAGGTATGCTGTGGTGTCAGTCCTTTTTTTTATTTTATTTTTTTCTTAATACTGATCACTATATTGGTGTCACTAGTCAGTCCCCACAGTCCCGCTATAAGTCGCTGATCGCCGCCATTACTAGTAAATATAAAATTTTAGAAATCCCAGTACATATACCGCCATTTGTAAAAGCTATAACTTTCACGCAAACCAATTAATTGACACGTATTGGGATTTTTTTTTTAGCAAAGACATGTCGCAGAATACATTTTGGCGTAAATTTATGACAATTTGATTTCTTTAAATTTTTTACTGGACATGTTTTAATAGCAAAAAGTCAAAAATATATATTTTTTTTTTTGTTTTTTTATATAGCGTAAAAAATAAAAACCGCACAGGCGATCAAATACCACTGAAAGCTCAATTTGTTGGGAAAAAAGGAAGTAAATTTCATTTGGGTGCAGCATTGCTGATTTTACTGATGTGGGTTTAGTAACACTTCATTTATAATGTCCAACGCAATCTCCCCCATCCATCCACGTTTCCATGCTTTATTTTGCTGAGAAATCCCTTAGCAAAACACTCCCTAACATTTGTGGCTGTGGCCATCTTGAGTAAGGTCAGATGATTCATGTAGAAGCTACTTCCAGGGATCCATCTGCCTTTAGCTCAGTCATACAGGCAGGAGGGTGTGCTTAGCTGAGAAAAAACCCCTCCTGAGGACCCCCAGGATGTGTGACATCATTTGCCTAGGCATTGAAACCAGGAAGTAACTAAAGAAATGTAAAAAAAAACTGTTAAAAACAAGCAAGTACAATATACTTTCCTATCTATTTACTAATGCTATCAGCATAACAATTAAAAATAGTCAATGTAAATTAAGAGAGTGAAGTTCCACTTTAAAGTGGTTGTAAACCTTAGACATGAAATATGAACAAAGCATATCTCTCTATAGTGTTTACTTGTCTCAATCCAGAGCACTGTGTCATTTCTGTCTGCTGCTTCATTTCTCTGCTATCAGCATGAATCACTTCTGACAAGTTTTTCTGACACCAAGAGAAAAAAGGTGACGGGAGGGAGCTCCAGCAGATTGAGAGCCTCAGCTCAATGTCTGTAAGCTGTGTGGAGGGGGTGTGTCTCTTCACTCCAATCAACTGTCAGAGCTCTCCTCACTGAGCTTTGCAGAGTGTAACTTCAACTCTCTGCCTCCTTTTTTTTCTGAACTCTCAGAAAAACTTTATAATTTCCGGTGAACTGCAACTCAGTGGGTTCCCTACATTTCTCGAAGTCTTGTTAAAGTGAGTGTTGGCTGCAGCACCTGATTGCATTTGATACTATAGTTTTTGCTATCTGTTCCTTCAGCAGAGAAAACAAGGGGTTCGATCTGTAGTGCTCATGTACAAGTCCTTAATGGAGATGGCCGGAAGCACTGAATTGAATGGAGTCCCAATATAAAACTGTCCAACGCCTACACCCCTTGCTGGATATTTGACGTTGGGGTCCCTTTAATCCAATTTCCTTCACTTCATCTTCCACCAGAATTATTTACCAATTTGTATGCGTTGGCTCTGCGGCTTTAAATCCACCCCCGTCCCCCCCTCCATCTTTTATTTTATGTCTCTGGTTTTATGTCGGAGGTATAAGATTTATGTCTCCCCTCAGTAATGAAACTTTCCTCATGCCATATGGCACTCACACACCTTATTCAAGTTGCCTAGAATTACCCTCATCCATCGTGGTGTTATGACACTTCTGATCAGATATGACACTCATTAAAAGCAATGCCAGGCAGCCAGCTACTTTATGACATCTCACTCTGCTCGTCTGGCCCCTGGCTCTGTACACAGTCTCCTCTCCGCGTTATTAACACTTTCCCGTCACATACATCAGTGTCTTCCCCCGATCCCAGCACTGCGTCCGTCTTCTCCATCGGAGAAGAGATGATCGGAGCATCACTGGCGTTCAATATATTCTTACACCCGACAGGAAATGGCTTGGGTTTCACATTTTGTTCCTTAAAGTGGATCTAAACCGAAAAACTTTGAATAATATGTAATTAATCCATCAGTGGAATTGCATTAGTTTTCCTTTTCAGGCTTTTCCCTGGTTTTCACCCTGGTGATCCACATCCAGACCTAAGGAGGGAGCAGTACAATCACCCTGGGTCAGGTAGTTTATTCTCACTACACAACACCTCCTCCTTTACTTATTGTCAAGGCAGGAATGGGGGTGTACTGTAGTAGGAAGAGGAGACAGCTTATAGCATAAGTTCACCTTTTCAGAAAACGTTAAAAGGCGAACGAACACCAAACACCTTCGCCACCCCCTCATCCCTGGTCCTTGCTGCACTTACCTCCATGGATGATAAGCTGTCAGTGCCCATGCAGCAGCTGTAGCAATCTGGGTTGTGAAATCACATTCGTCTCCTGTTCTCTCTGCAGGGCTTCCAGGACAGATCAGAGCAATTCTGATTGGTCAGCACCGCTCTGATCCATCCTGGAAGCCCTACGAGGAGAAGAGCTGGGATTTCACATCCCGAACTTCTACATAAGCTTGCTTGGCCACTGACCGCTCATCACCCACAGAGGTAAGTATCACATGGACCAGGGGGGTGGGAAGCCTGTAGGGGGTTAGTTTACCTTTTCAGTTTTTCTGAAAAGTTAACCCTTCAGTCCCACTGCAAGGGAGAATTTTCTGATTTACTGGAGTTGGACTCTGATCTCCGGTCTTCACTTCAGTCTTGCACAGTTGTACCGGCTCCTCTCCTCTACTGAATTGGCTTACTCTGTTTTCACTGCACACTGTGAGCTTCCCACAGCACCCCACCTAAGTACTCCTGGCTGTTATGCAAATATCAAACTGCCTTGATGGGTTGGTGTCAGTCCTGAGGATAGGGTGTTTCTAGCAGGGGGTCTTTTTTTCAGCGGGAACGCAGTTTCTGGCAGCTCCAGCACTGAATGTATGTAATGGCAACGGGTGCTGGGATGTGCTAGGATGTGCTGGAAGGTCTATTGATGCTGGGTGTTGGGGGGGTCTATTGTCACTGGACAGGATCTATGTTTGCATGGTGGTCTATTGTTGCTGATGGGGGATCTATTGTTGCTAGAAAAGATCTACTGTTGAGGGAGGGGTCTATTGTTGCTTGCTGTTGAAGAGTATATTGATGCTGGCTACTGGGAGATCAGTTGTTGCTGCTGGTTTTCTATTGTTGCTGGGATGGTATTTTGCTTCTTGGGGGGTCTATTGCCTCTGGCTGCAGGGGATATATTTTACTTTTTTTCTTGTTTATAATGAACACATTCCATCCAAAATGATACTTGGCTGTATATTCTCTATATGGAGCGATACTGGAAGGTGGCTAGAGGTCGAACCAAGGGCTGTACTTGAGGGTGGGTTGGGGGCAGAGACAAAAAGTGATTCAGAAGGGGGAGTTCTTGCACCTCTTCCCTGAGGAAAAAAAAGTCCTAGTTCCTAGGCAGGCAGTATTTGCATGCAGACCACATGTGATGCTGAGCCTCCATGATTAAAAGAACTGAAATCCAATGAATAGAAGGGGCGGTCGAGGGGCAGTCATGCTGGAAGGAAAGCACTAGATCAGGGGTCTCCGAACTTTCTAAACAAAGGGCTAGTTTACTGTCGTTCAGGCTTTAGGTGGCTGGACTGTGCCCAGTGGGAGTAAACCATGCCCCATCTCTTGTATTAGGGGTGGAATAGTGCCTCCTCGTTGGTGTTAGTGGGAGGATTAGTTTCTGATTGTTGTAGTCAGTGGAAGGAATTATGTCCCATTGTTTGTGTCAGTGGCAGGATTAATGCCTCAAGGGCCGGAAAAAGTTTGGTGACCACTGGGCTAGATTATAATGGATCTTCTCCAGCCAGAAAATGAGGCTTGTCTCTATATCACTTGGTGCAACCTGTAATGCACATTGTGAGAAGCTCACAGTATGCAGTGACATTAGAGTAATCAATAGGAGGAACCTGTACAACTAAGCTGAAGGGAAGGCTTGAGGTCAGCGTTGAGTATGCCCAGGTACCTACCTACGTCAGGCTCCTAGTGCTGAAAACAAGTGTTTTGATGATTTAGTGAAAATTGGAGATATTTTATTGCCATAACTTGAGGATCTCTGTAGTATTTAACATGATTCTGTATTTGTATTGCAGGAGGGACAGTAGCGTCATTAAAGAAGAAATTAAAGCCTTTCTGGCAAACCGAAGAATATCGCAGGCTGTGGTTGCACAGGTCACAGGTGAGTAGAATGGACCTCAGAGATTTCTGGAGGTGCTTCCCCTGCAAACCATAGAAAAATAGTCCTGAGATCTCTTCACCCCGTAGTAAACAGTGATGGGAAGTCCGGGCTAGGATCATGATTGCAGTATTTATTCTTCCCTTTCATATATATTGATCAGCGAGTGTGAACATTCCAAATGCTATGTATGATAATTAGACCCGGTACTGGCCGGATGGGGTTTATTTTTGCTGCAGATAAAGTTGGGAAGGATGTGATGCCTCCTCAGAAGGCCGCAGGACCATTCATAGGGTGTAGCGTGGATTGCACATGCTCAGTAGGGAGGCAGCTGTCAAGCTACAGGGAGTCACAGCCAGCTTCCCACAGTTAGCATGGCAAGACCATTGAAGAAATGGCCCGGTTAGGACAGCACTGGATCCCTGGACAGATAACTGTGTTTTTATTACAAGTCAGCAGCTACAGTATGTGCATCTGCTGACTTTCAATTTTTTTTGGTTGTGGGGGGTGTGCTGAAGAACCTCATTAAAGTGACACTACACTGTGCACAATTATTAGGCAAGTGATTTTTGTGACCAAATCATCATTTTTATGCATATTATCCAGCTCCAAGCTATATAAAATCGAATGCTTATTGGATTTAAGCATATCAGGTGATGTGTATTTGTGTAATGAGGGAGGGAGTGACCTAAGGAGATCAACACCCTCTACCAAGGTGTGCATAATTATTAGGCAGCTTCTTTTCCTCTAGCAAAATGGGCCTAAAAAGAGATTTAGCTGACTCTGAAAAGTCAAAAATTGTAAAAAGTCTTTCAGAGGGATGCAGAATTCTGGAAATTGCTAAGATATTGGGGCAAGATCACAGAACCATCAAACGTTTTGTTGCAAATGGTCAACAGGGTAACAAGAAAAGTGAAAAAAAGAGGCAAATTAATTGCCATAGATTTGAGAAAAATCAAACGTGAGACTACCATGAACCCATTATCCTCTAGTGCTGTCATATTCCAGAATTTCAACCTACCAGAAGTGCCCAGAAGTAGGTTTTCAGTGCTCAGAGTTATGGCCAAGGTAAGGAGGGCTGAAACCCGACCACCACTGAAAGACACATACGTTGAAATGTCAAGACTGGGCCAAGAAATATCTGAAGACAGAGTTTTCAAAGGTTTTATGGACTGATGAGATGAGAGTGACTCTTGACGGACCAGATGGATGGGCCCGTGGCTGGATCAGTAATGGGCACTGAGCTCCACTTTGACTCAGATGCCAGCAAGTTTGAGGTGGGGTACTGGTTTGAGTTGGTATTGTTAAGATGGGTTAGCTGGATCTTTTCAGGTTGAAGAGGTGCAGGAAAAAGTCTACACCTTTCAAGAAGACTATGATATTTATGCAGGACAGCCCTCCATCGCATGCATCAAAGTACTTCACTGTACGGATAGCCAGGAAAGGAAAGAAATTACATTACCCCCTTCCTAATTTTGACCTAAATCCTATTGAGAACTTGTGGGCCCTTCCTAAATGGGAGATTTACGGTGAAGGAAAACAGTATACCTATCTGAACAGTGTCTGGGAGGCTGTGGTTGCTGCTGCACAAAATGATCATCAACAGATCAAGAAACAGACAGACTCCATGAATGGAAGGCTTATGACCTTTTTTTTTTTTTTCGTCAAAAATGTTTATTTGGAAATTTTGAGTTGTTTATTATTCTCACTTTAACAGATGTAAATAAAGTGATGTCAAGGTGTTGTCAGTCATATTGTAACTGGGCTTTTTTGTGGCATTGGTGCAGTAAAAGCTTCTTTCTGGCACCTCGACCAAACAGCTCATTTTTGTTCCAAGTATCATCGTATTGTACACCTTAAAAACAATCATACTATCTTTTTCCAGAGCAGCCTGTATTTCTTTTGAGGTTGCCTGTGGGTTTTTCTTTGAATCCTGGACAATTCTTCTGTCAGTTGTGGCTGCAATCTTTCTTAGTCTACCTGACCTAGGCATCAAGTGATCCCTAAACTTTACACTTCTTAATAGGTGATTTCACAGTACTGATTGGCATATTCAAGGCTTTGGACATCTTTTGATGTCCTTTTCCATCTTTATAAAGTTCCATTACCTTGTTACGCAGGACTTTTGACAGTTCTTTTCTGATCCCCATGGCTCAGTATCTAGCCTAGTCAGTGCTTCCATGTAAGAGCTAACAAACTCATTGACTATTTATACACTGACACTAATTGCAATTTAAAAAGCCACAGATGTGGGACATTAACCTCTAATTGGCATTTTAACCCGTGTGTGTCACCTTGTGTGTGTCTGTACCAAGGCCAACCATTCCAGGGGAGGGAAACTTTAGATCCGGGCCATTTGGGTGATTTCTGTTGTTATGATTTAAAAATGAGCCAAACTATTTGATAATAAATGACTTCATATGATCATCATCCTTCAATAAAAGAGCAGTTTTTGGCATGATCAGTCATATTTTCAATATCAATGCCAAAATGTCACAATTTCTGCCAGGGTATGCAAACTTTTGAGCACAACTGTATTTCACAATTTTAAAGCCTGTAATTGATTTCAGTGGACTGTGCCTGCACAGCCATGGCGGGTTTCCGGCTTGGTAGAGATGTCAAAATGTTAAGTCTCATTCCTTTGCTTTCACTATATTTTGCTTCCCATACCATGCACTTATAATAAAAAAAGATATTTATATAGAATATATCCTAAAAGACATATCAGCAAGGCAGGACTATATGCAGACAGATCGATAATTATCAAAGGTTGCAGATGTTTAATAATCTCTTTGGCTTTTAAGCTGCCATGAAAGCTGCTAGTGTCGTGTGTTTTTAGGCATCAATGCCACCATGGCTGCCTGGGGCGGACTTCCTACTGTTCCTACTGCTGGCAATGAAGCATCCATGTGGTGATTGATGAGCAGCAGGGCTAAAAGTGGCCCTGGATACAGCATGTGGGGGCACACAAAGGATGCTGTTGATTCCAATATACAGGAGGAAAGGTTTTCTAGTGGGTGTATTCAGTTTACTTTAGAAAATACTGTACAACTTTGGCCGTTATTGCATTATTGTACATGAATACAATTCTTCTTAGGGGCAGGCAACCTCAGCACCCCACCTGTTGTAGAACTAAGAGTTCCATGATGCTTTGCAGCACTCTGACAGCCACAGGCATGACTCGCAGAGGCATGATGGGATTTGTAGTTTCATTAGAACTGAAGTGCCAGGGTTGCCTAATTCTGGTCTAGACTGTATATATGCAGTTTATGGTCGGTTTGGTCTTGTTGTTCAGAGCCTGTGTGTTTCTTTCAGGCATCAGTCAGAGCAGGATCTCTCACTGGCTGCTCCAGCAAGGCTCCGATTTAAGCGAGCAGAAGAAAAGAGCTTTCTATCGGTGGTACCAGCTGGAGAAGACGAGTCCTGGTAAAGTACCAATTACTGCATTATTGTAAGAGCTTATTACCGTTTTCTCACCGCATGCCTTCTGTAAATCCCGGAGGATAGGATGGAAGTTGGTGGAAGTTTATAGTGTTTACGCTGTCTGAAGAGGATGAGCAGCTTCACTACTAAGGTGGCCGACTGAGTTGAAGCACACAGTTAACACACTCACACATAAAGCAGATATAGATTCTGCTGCTAAAATCTAGAATAAGCTTTAATATATTAAAGTGAACTAGAAGGCAAAAATCAAAGATTTGCTATGCTAATAGGGAGCATCTACATCGATCAGCCATAACACTATGACCAATCTTGTATCTGGTTACAATGGCACCTGAAGGTAGGTGGGTGGGTCTAAGGTAGGAAAAACCCGGTGACAGGGTCATAGGTGGCCAAGGTTTGTTGATGCACTTGGGTAGCAAAGGCTTGTCCTGTGCAGCGTGATCCAAAAGAAGAGCTACTGTTGCTCAGATTTCTGAAAATAGTTAATGCTGGTTCCAATAGGTGTGAGAAAACACAGTGCATTGGGGCTGTGTAGCCGCAGACCGGTCAGGGTGCCCATGTTGATCCATATCCACAGCCAAAAGTGCTGACAATGAGCACGTGAGCATCGGAACTGCACTACGGAGCAATGGAAGAAGGTGGCCTGATCTGATGAATTCAAGAATTGTTTGAGGTGTTGACTTGATCTTCAAATTCCCTAGATGTCAAACTAATCGAACATCTGTGGGATGTGCTGGAAAAAAAAGTCCAATCCATAGGGACACCACCTCGCAACTTACAGAACTTAAAGGATCTGCTGCTGATGGCTTGGTTCCAGATACCACAGCGTACCTTTAGAGGTCTAGTGGAGTCCATGCCCGATGGTGGGTGGTGGTGATGTTATGGCTGATCGGCGTATGTGTGTGCCTACGTATTACCCTGAAAATTAGCAGTGCAATTGCTCTATAGCCTTTTGGCTGCAAACCTGCAGTGTGAAATCCTGTAAGGCACTGCTACTGAGATTTGGAGGAATTTGGTAGTGACGCTTCTGTGCTGCTCACTGTTCTCCTTGCTAGAGGATCTTGCAAGTTGGAAGCAAAGCTCTGCCTCTACCAAGATGGCTGCTTCCATACACAGACATAATGAAGAACAGGGCATGGTACGCCCAGCAATGGAGAAAGTTCAGCTGTAAGGAGACTTCAGTCAACAATGGTGACTTGTCTTTAATGTAATGTCAAAAGTAATTTTTTAAATATGAAGCCTTCATTATTTAAATGCTTGCTTAGTGATCTATGAAGGTCCTAAGGCAGGCATTGCCTGTTATAGGGTGACAGTGCTTTGTTCCTGTCTCCAGTTTGTGCTCCTGCATTGTCGCCCTGTCAGGGGGGATTCCAATGGAGACAATAGAGATTACAGTTGGCCATTTAACTTCTTGCTGATCATGCAGCATATATGTGTGCCGGGAAGGTAGGTAGGCTTCAATGCGTACGCGCCACACATGGCAGCTGAGGTTTCTGTGCTGGGTGTGCGCTTACTGGGCATTCCCAGAACAGTGCCCTAGCTGGCACAGATAACCCCCCCCCCCCTCCCCCTCCAATATTTAGGTATGACAGAGAGCCATGGGGACCAATTATGTGACTACTGTGACCATCATAGTTGTCACGTGATCAGGAAGCTGGTCCTGCTCCCCTGCCTTAAGACTCAGTTAAAGAGCCTCCGTAGACAGGAAGAGATTAAACACACAATACACAGACCCAGTCCAATGTTGTCGCTATCAGGAAACCCGTCCTGAGAAATACCATGCATGTGAATATGGGGTGGCTGCAGGGAGGTTCCAGGAGATCAGCAATACTGAGATGTGCTTCCCCTCTAAAAAGCATTCCACAATGGACTGCTTTTCAGACCGCGAGGAACATAAATGTAGTCTCCTCTCTGCCTGTTTTAACCTTGTAAAGCCTGCACCACTGCATGGCATCTGTGTACATTGTATGTGTATATTCCTTTGCTCCCCTATTTACTTGAATGGGTCATGTTCGATGGTGGTACTGCCAGCCAAATGTGACATGAAGTGTTATTTTTGCTGTGGCAGTGAAGCAAATGTGTTTAACACAATCCGGCTGCCTTTGCATGGGGGGGCTCTTGTCCATAATGGGCATGGTATTGACACAGCTCCAGATGATCCACATTGGCTCACAATTGATATAATCCAGAAATATTTAGACAGAATAAAGGTGAATAAAGCACCTGGACCGGATGGCATACACCCACGGGTCCGTAAAGAATTGAGCTCTGTCGTTTCAAAGCCATTGTTTCTCATTTTTAGGGACTCTTTAATGACTGGCATAGTACCACTGAATTAGCGTAAGGCCAATATGGTGCCAATATTTAAAAAGGGGTCAAAATCTTTACCAAGTAATTATGGACCTGTTAGTTTAACTTCTATAGTTGGGAAGATACTGGAGAGTGTAAGACCACATAGATGAGTGCTTGCACAGAGGGGTGGAGGTGGATGTGGTATACTTGGACAGAGGGGTGGCGGTGGACGTGGTATGCTTGGACAGAGGGGTGGCGGTGGACGTGGTATACTTGGACAGAGGGGTGGAGGTGGACGTGGTATGCTTGGACAGAGGGGTGGCGGTGGACGTGGTATGCTTGGACAGAGGGGTGGACGTGGTATACTTGGACAGAGGGGTGGAGGTGGACATGGTATGCTTGGACAGAGGGGTGGCGTTGGACGTGGTATGCTTGGACAGAGGGGTGGACGTGGTATACTTGGACAGAGGGGTGGAGGTGGACGTGGTATGCTTGGACAGAGGGGTGGCGGTGGATATGGTATGCTTGGACAGAGGGGTGGCGGTGGACGTGGTATACTTGGACAGAGGGGTGGCGGTGGACGTGGTATGCTTGGACAGAGGGGTGGTATGCTTGGACAGAGGGGTGGCAGTGGACGTGGTATACTTGGACAGAGGGGTGGAGGTGGACGTGGTATGCTTGGACAGAGGGGTGGCGGTTGACGTGATATACTTGGACAGAGAGGTGGCGGTGGATGTGATATACTTGGACAAAGGGGTGGCAGTGGACGTGGTATACTTGGACAGAGGGGTGGCGGTGGAATACTTGGATTTTACAAAAGCGTTTGACACAGTTCCCCACACACGGCTAATGTGTAAGGTAAAGTCTACGGGCTTGGAAAAATCCGTATGTAAATGCACTGCCAAGCTGCAGTTTCTAAAGCGAGCAAAATCTTCTCTTGTATTAAAAGAGATATACTGTAGACTCCAGTGAGAGAGATATCGTTTCCCTCGGTACAAATCATTAGTAATACCTCATCTGGAATATGCAGTTCAGTTTTGGGCATCAGTTCACAAAAAGAACATTGGGGAACTGGAGAAAGTACAGAGAAGGGCAACCAAACTGATAAGAGGCATGGAGGAGATCAGCTATGAGGAAAGATTAGAGGAACTGAATTTATTCTCTCTTGAGGAGATTAAGGGGGGATATGATCTCCATGTATAATACATAAGGGGGATATGATCTCCATGTATAATACATAAGGGGGATATGATCACCATGTATAATACATAAGGGGGGATATGGTCTCCGTGTATAATACATAAGGGGGGATATGATCTCCGTGTATAATGCATAAGGGGGGATATGATCTCCATGTGTAATACATAAGGGGGGATATGATCTCCATGTATAATACATAAGGGGGGATATGGTCTCCGTGTATAATACATAAGGGGGGATATGGTCTCCATGTATAATACATAAGGGGGGATATGATCTCCATGTATAGAACATAAGGGGGGATATGATCTCCATGTATAGAACATAAGGGGGGATATGATCTCCATGTATAATACATAAGGGGGGATATGATCTCCATGTATAATACATAAGGGGGGATATGATCTCCATGTATAATACATAAGGGGGGATATGATCTCCATGTATAATACATAAGGGGGGATATGATCTCCATGTATAATACATAAGGGGGGATATGATCTCCATGTATAATACATAAGGGGGGATATGATCACCATGTATAATACATAAGGGGGATATGATCTCCATGTATAGAACATAAGGGGGGGATATGATCTCCATGTATAAATACATCAGTGGTTCATATAGTGAACTCGGTGTAGAGCTATTCATCCTGAGGTCATCACAGAGGACAAGGGGGCACTCTTTACGTCTGGAAGAAAAGAGATTTAGTCTCCAAACACGGAAAGGTTTCTTCACAGTGAGAGCTGTGAAAATGTGGAATAGACTCCCTCAAGAGTTGGTTCTGGCCAGCTCAGTGGGTTGCTTCAAAAAAAGTCCTGGATTGTTTCCTAGATACTCAGAATATAACTGAATACTAACATTTATAGGTAAAGTTGATCCAGGGAATATCCACTTGCCTATCGGGGGATTAGGAAGGAAATATTTCCCCTGCAGGAGCAAATTGGATCATGCTTTGCTGGGTTTTTGCCTTCCTCTGAATCAACTGTGAGTATAGGATTATAACTTTTTTTTTTATGGTTGCACTGGATGGACTTTTGTCTTTTTTCAGCCAGACTAACTATATGTAACCATATGTAACTATGTAGGATTATAACCTTTTTTTTTTTATTAATGGCTGAATTGGATGAACTATTGTCTTTTTTCAGCCAGACTATTTTACTATGTAAAAGACACAGCTCAATCACCTATTGTTATCACCCCCCACCACAAGTGTAAACAAGCCTTTAGGCTGTCTTCTATCCTGCCTGAACAACTTGGCTGTCCAAGGTTACTTTTGTCTCTTCCTTGCCATTGACAAAACACACAGCCCCACTCTGTTTTGTGAATAGCCAAGAGATGGAGGCAGTAGTGGCAGAGACATGCAGGGGGTCTATAACATCTGCAGGACTTACTGTATATCTGAGGAACTTGGAAGTACAGTCTGAGGTGTACTAATTCCGGCATTTAAACTAGACGACTTGCTTAACCACTTCTGCCCACCGTGGCATCCATTTGAAAGATTCTCAATGCCGAAGAGTAGGAAAGATCGGCAATCTTGTGACCATTGTGATTGGCTGTCACATCATTGGGAAGAGGTCCAGTTGCCTTTAGATTGGCAATGGGCATCAAGAGCAGTCTTTGACAGCTCAGTCTCTCTGCTGGGAGCGCACAGTGAGCCTGTTCTCAGCACAGACACATTGGCCACCCAGTGATGCATATTTGCATCAATAAAGCCCACCCTTTTTGTCAATTATTACCAATGTAATAATGTGTGTTTGTGTGTATGTATATGTGTGTGTGTGTGTGTATATATGTGTGTGTGTGTGTGTGTGTGTGTATATGTGTGTGTGTGTGTGTGTGTGTATATATATATATGTGTGTGTGTATATGTGTATATATATATATATATATATATATATATATATATTATATTATGTGTATATATATATATATATATACCGTATATATATTATGTGCCATACCTGTGGGAACCCTCTAGAAGTGTGTATATCTCTGTATAGGCATTGCTATTCCAGAGATCTTCACTAGCTTCTATGTCCCATGCAGAACAGCTGCCCTGCTGCATTGTGAACACAGGCGGCCGGCCACTGAACAGGAGTGCAATTCTGAAATCGCTTTGTGTTTTCTCTGTGACTGCAAAGTATTCTCTGATTGGACAAGGTGGAGTTCTGTGCGTTGACGTCATGCTTTCCACCTCGTCCAATCAGAGAATGTTTTGCATTAATTGAGAGCATGTAAAGCATTTTTTGAATGGCACCCCTGCCCAGCAGCCAACCTCCTGTGTTCCCAATGCAGAAAAACAGCCACCCAGCACATGACCCCGAATGCTACTTGAGATCACTGGAGTAGAGGTATCTATGCAGTCATTTCCAGCTTCTAGAGGGATCGCACATGTATTGTATGTGCATAGCTACATTGGTCCAAGCTGGATAAATGTGATTTATGTAAAAACATTTATACCTGGAATTCTTGTTTAATGTTTAAATAAAAGTCGGCATGATGGGGGCTGGCTTTATCAGGAACTGAGGGATCGAAAGCTGTACACTGGGTAAGATTTTAGTGTCGGAGTTCACCTTTAGCATCCTTCCATGTGTATGTATAGATGTATTTTTTGTGAAAAAAAACAAAATGTTTGATGAAGAATAAGTTTAAGACGAAACCCGACGGCGGGGAAGATTAATTCCCGTTCCAGTCAGTGATCTAGCGATATAGGAACGCTGTTATTTTTCATCTGCCTTAGGGGGGCCAGGCACCGCATTCTGGGTACAAGGAAATGTACATCTCCCAGTACTTAAACCACGGAGTGGAACCATTTTACACTCCCTTGTCCTCAGAGTAAATTGTAAGGAGTAACGCACCTCCCCGTCTGCTTCTCGGAAACCCTGGGCCTGGGCTGTGATTTCATCTTGCACCGTACCTTGTGGGGTTACCAAATCACATTTCCAGCCAATTAGGCAGGCTGATGCTGTGCAGCTCACATAATCACATTGCAATCAGCAGACAGCACGGGCCTGGAGACATCTGTATGCACCTTCTCAATGGAGCAGATCTGTGTGGTCTTTTGTCACTGCCGCTGTTATGTGGCCGCAAAGGAGACCGTAACCCCTTCCTGACCAGGGCGGCTTCTTGCCTTCCTGAGCACAGATATTTTCCATAGGCATGTAGCTGGCTCACCTCTCTATCCTATGTCCTTTCATTACACATTTTTAGCAACATTATTGGGTTATTCTTATATATAGTGATTATTTGGAACCTTTCTCTCTCCCCATTTCCTCTCCAGGAGACCAGCACATGGTCTAGGTGTCCCCTTAACACCCCTTAGGTTGCTAAAATCACCAGATCCCACAGGTCTTGTGATGTCACCACATCCACTGACATTAAGACATTTGCTTTGCAATTTTGTCCCCGTATAAGTCTGATGTGCAGCGCTATATAAAAACAAGTTATTATGTACAAAATATAATTAACATCACCATCAGTAATCAAATAATAATGTCAAATTAAATTTAAAAATAAATCAATGAAAGTAAAATGTGTCTATATGCAAAAAGGAGAGCAATCTTCCACTCCTGGAGAATAGTATCCAAGCACAAATTTTTGTCAATATTATTATTATAATACAGGATGTAACAGTTTTGCTCAGCGCTTTACAATATAATGGGAGACAATACAGCAACAATACAGTTCAATACAAGAAGGAAAGGAGGGCCTGATCCTTGGAGCTTACAATCCACACTTAAATCACTGCAGGCGAGAGAAACACCCGTAAACCAAATTCACCTCCATGCACACAAGAGGCCCTTACCAGAAAGATGTGGCCATCAAATTATAAATGGTCTGATGTGCATATAGGGTTAATGATCCCAGTCACTGATGCAACAGCAATCAAAAAAAAAATAAAAAGCAGTCTCACACTTCCTGCAATGTCATGTAAAGAGCAAGAGGACTTGCATGGTGTAATATAGTTAGAAACGTTCACATTTATTTAAAAATAAGAATGCGCACTCACATATACAGCGAGTAAAATAAGGATTGACAAACGTCACCATTTTTGTCAGTAAATATAATTCTAAAGGTGTTATTGACATTAAATTTTCACCACATGTCCGTAACAACCCATGCAATCCATATATACAAAGACACCAAAACAAATAAGTTCAGAAATTAAGTTTTATGTGTAATAAAATGGAATGACACTGGGAAAAAGTATTGAACACACTAATTGAAATGTATTTAATACTTTGTGCAAGAGCCTTTGTTGGTAATTACAGCTTCAAGATGCCTCCTGTATGGAGAAACTAGTCGCATGCATTGCTCAGGGGTGATTTTGGCCCATTCTTCCACACCGACAATCTTCAAATCTTGAAGGTTCTGTGGGCCTCTTCTGTGAACACTGATCTCTGTTGGATTCAAGTCAGGTGATTGGCTGGGCCATTCTACCAGCTTTATTTTCTTTCTTTGAAACCAATTGAGTTTCCTTGGCTTTGTGTTTTGGGATCATTGTCTTGCTGAAATGTCCACCCTCTTTTTATCTTCATCATCCTGGTAGATGGCAGCAGATTTTTTATCAAGGATGTCTTGGTACATTTTTCCATTCATCCTTCCTTCAATGATGCTGAAAAACAACCCCACACCATGATGTTCCTCCCACCTCCATGCTTCACTGTTGGGATGGTGTTTTTGGGGTGATGAGCAGTTCCATTTGACCTCCGAACATAATGTGTATTATGGCATCCAAAGAGTTCCATTTTGGTCTCATCTGACCAGACTATATTCTTCCAGTATTTCACAGGCTTGTCTAAATGTTGTGCAGCAAACTTTAAACGAGCTTCAACATGCTTTTTCTTCAGCAGTTGAGTCTTGCGTAGTGAGAGTGCATATAGGCCATGGTGGTTGAGTGCATTACTTATTGTTTTCTTTAAAACAATTGTACCTGCTATTCTAGGTCTTTCTGAAGCTCTCCACAAGTGGTCCTTGGCTCTTGGACAACTCTTCTGATAAATATTTTCACTCCTCTGTCAGAAATCTTGCGATGAGCACCTGGTCGTGGACGGTTTATGGTGAAATGATGTTCTTTCCACTTGATTATGGCCCCAACAGTGCTCACTGGAAGATTCAGAAGTTTAGAAATCCTTCTGTAACCAATGCCATCAATATGTTTTACAACAATAAGGTTGCAAAGGTCTTCAGAGACCTCTTTGCTTTTACCCATCATGAGATGTTTCTTATGTGACACCTTGGTAATGCGACCCCTTTTTATAGGCCATCAGTTGTGACTGAACCAGCTGATATTAATTTGCACTGACAAGGGGCAGGATTACTCTCTAATTACTGATTTCAGCTGATGTCTTGGCTTTCCATGCCTTTTTGCACCTCCCTTTTCTTCATGTGTTCAATACTCTTTCCCTGTGTCATTCCATTTTATTATACATAACTTAATTTCTGAACTTATTTGTTTTGGTTTCTTTGTTTATATGGATTGCATGGTTTGTTACCGACATGTGCTGAAAATTTCATGTCAATAGCACCTTTAGAAATATATTTGCTGAGAAAAATGGTTACATGTTCAGTACTATTTTACCTGCTGTATAAAAAGCCAGGCACGGCTACATCTTGTTTGCATGTATCTGATCGGCAGAGTCTCTATCCGGTTTGACTTCCAGCAAAAGCATGCGAGATGTCACGTCCATTAGCCCCTTCAAACGCATTTCATCCCAGTAGACATCATAAGATTTTAGGTTCTTCTTGGTATGCAGAAGATGTAAAATAAATGAATAAAAATGCAAGTACCCTTTAGCACATTCTAACAAATATACTGTATATCTGATGACCAGTTCCCCTTTATCCTGTTCTTACACATAAGTATTTGGAGCAGGTTCTGTTCAACAATACATTTTCTGTCACTTGTAATATTTTTTTTTGCAGCTAATCATTAATCTGAAATTAAAACTGAATTCTGGTCAATTGTTTTTAAAATGAAATTAGAATGCCCTCCAGGCCACTTCTGGTCTTGTATTGAAAATGTGAGGGACTGCTCACCTTCCAGGGCTAGAGCAAGGAAGCTCTCTGGCTGTTGTAATTTATATCTTTGCATTAATAATATTATTAATATGATTATGATTTGGTTAATTATTAATACCCAAATAATAGCAATATTTAGGTAATTCTTACTATATTTTATTATAATTTATTATTTGGGTAGTTATTATTTTATACATTAAGTATATAACATAATTATTTTATTATAAATTATTATTATTTGGCTAATTTATGTCTCTGCGTAACACCCACCTAGAAACCCTAGGTCATACATTTTTGGGGCACGCTAATTTTATTTACTTTTTTTTTTTTTTTTTTTTTTAAAGCTAACCAAATAACGAAAACGCACTTTATAAAGACCGCTGCAGTCTGAGTGTACTAAAAATTAACTTTATTTTTAAATGTTGCAGGTGCAACTCTAAGTATGAGACCAGCTCCCATCCCTATAGATGACACAGAGTGGAGGCAAACCCCACCCCCTGTCACCGCTACCTCCGGTACATTCAGGTTACGACGGGGCAGCCGGTTCACCTGGAGGAAAGAGTGTCTGGCTGTCATGGAAAGGTATGGCGTGGTTTATTAAAACTGATATTCCTGCTGTGAAACATGGTGGTGTATGAGTATATGATCACTTTTCCCTAAACCATTTGACATGTGTCTTGTCAGAACAGCAGGAAGGTTAGAGTTGTGCTTGACATCAGACAACGGGGTTGGATTAGTCTTTGGCATTATGGTTTGATTTAAGTCGGGGAATTGTAGACTAAGGATTGGATTTACACATTAAGGTTGAGAAGGAGAGCAGATGTTAATGTTGAGGGTCTCCAGTCACATGGGTGCTGGTGTTGGGGTTTGCTGGATCCTAATGTTTGGGTTTCAAGGGCTTCAGTTAGCAGAGTACATTGTTGTATGCCTGCATATAATATATGTGGATGCCCTCCTGTGAATTCCATATGGCTGAACCACCATGAGCCACAATAAAGGCTTGTCCTCAGCTTCACCCAGCCTTCTCAAAACAATCTTGGTAATTATATTGAAGTCAGGTAATTTATTCTAATTTGTGTTGCATACAAATTACATCCTTGTCGCTTTACTGCTTTTGGTTTGTAGCAATGAAACCTACAGCAATAAAGTATATCTATGGTCAAATTTTTATTTCCTATGGTTTTATTGTTTTTTTTTTTTTCCTTTAGCCACTATGGTCCACAATAATTTTTACATTTCCACTATGGGTCTGTTTCTTTAGTCATAACTTTCTGATTACATTAAGGGGAACTTTACGGAAAAAATAAAAAAATGGGGAACAGGTAGGTTTTTTAACTTTACCCCGAGTGTAGCTCGGGGTAAAGTTTCAGCACCACAAGTGGTAACCCCGAGCTACACTCAGGAATACCCTGCAGCGTTGCTCCGGGATCCCTGTATCACTTACCTTGTCCTTCGCTCCCGCGATGTGTCCTCGGCAATGTCCTCTGGCTGATGCCGGCATCTGTCTTCCGGGTTCCGTTCCCTGCGTGTGTCAGGACGTACGAGGACAGAACTGACGGGAAATTTAAAAATGTCAAAAAGTGACATTCACTAAATTCACTAAAATCACATAGTAAAACATTCCTGTATCAAACCATTTCACATACATTTTGTCCCGAGTGCTTTGTCCTGTGCCCTGCCTACATTTTTACTGTTCTTTCTGCCTGGAAACTGAAAAATGTCCAAACAGCATCCCTTTAGGTCAAAAGCGGTTTTAGACCGGCTAGAGAACAGCGATAGTAAATTAGAACCACTTGCAGAATTGAGTGATAATGATTCGTGGGGGAAATTCGTCATCAGACATTGAAAACGATTTTTCAACTTTGCTCAGTGATATGCGAACTTGGCGCTATATTTAAAATTTCAGTGTTTTTGGTTTGATTATATTATTGAATTAAATTTATTATTAATATAATATTTTTTATGATTATTAAATTACAATTTATGAATTCGTTTTTCAAATTTTAACATACCCGGGATGTTTACTAGGCTTTTGTTCGGACAGATTTCACTGAGTTATTCCTAAAAATTACAGGCCTACAATAAAAAAACTACATATTTCCATGCAAAAAAAAATACCGCTTTGAGCACAGAAATATTGACATAATCAGACTGCTAGGGACATTCTATGTCTCTTCTGTAATAAACTTACTTACCTGCCTGTCCTGTTGGTCCGAGCCACGCTCTGTGTGTCTCATAGACATGCAGAGGCGGCTTGGGAGTGAGCATGCACAGAACAGGTAAATATGACGTGTTTGTTGTTTAAAAAAAAATAAATAAATAAAAATCTGAACCTTTACAATCACCAAACCCAAGCCAGAATATTGATGTTTTTTTTACAGGTAAGTCCACTTCCAAATGAATTACCCTACTCTATTCCGGGCACTCCAGTTACTCCTTGTCCATATAAAAAGCTATTACACACATTCTCCAGTGACATCTTGGTTAAAGTATTAATTCCTGGAAATGTTGAAACAATCGCTTTGCTTGGAATTTGTAATTCTGAGCAACAAGTACATCTTTACTGTAGCTGGGACACAGAGGTCTTTAGTCCAGCAAATCACCCAATTTGTATTTTTATTTATCTTTGGATATAACCAGTTTCTCCACAGAACATTCACCAGATATTTCAGCTTTTGCTCCCTCAGTGAGTTCAGAATGAGCTCCTTCTCTTTCCTTCACGATGATTGTCAACCAATAACCATTCCTCTCCGTGATGCTCTTAGGGTCCTTTTGCAGGCTTTGGAGCATTAAGGAGCCTAATTGTCACCTTACAATATTCCATGGTCATTTAGTGTTTTTGTTGAGTTTGGTTCTGATTAGGACAATTTTGCTGTGTCCCTTCGCTTAATCGATGCTTGGCAAACATATCATACAGTGGTAGAGCTGTACAGTTGTAGATGTCTGATCAGTCCTTCCTGGATTCTCATTGTAAAGGGTTAACCCATGGTTCAGTTTTTGTCTATTGTCTGGCTCTGCATCGAATGTAGGACGTTTCAAAGGGTCAGTCCAGTCACTGTGGTACATTTCAGAGCTTCTTGCCCACTTTTTTTGCTCAAACTAAAAAGAACTCCAATGTGTATTTTTTTGTCTATCCCATGAGGATTTCTCCGCAGAGACCTTTTCCTCGCTTTGTGGTAGAGCTGTCAAGGTTCAATCAAGAATCCCAGCTAATGCCTTCCTGGTCTTGGAGACAATTTTTCTGAATCCAGCACCTCTTATTCACCTTTTGTTGATCACTCCAATAGTCCAGGGTCTGTCTGGCTCTCTAGTGTCTTGGTTAGTTTTTTCTCTCTCTCAGCTGCCCTGCTATCTTGAGTCTCCTTTTCTGATCCCGTCACATACACGCTCTCCAGGCAGTCCCACAGTTCTCTAGTTGGATCTGCAGTCCGTACTGATTTTTTTTTGCTCGGCCCCGCTGCATTATAGTATTCAGATATACAGTGCTCATGAACAATAAGTCCCAGTGAGGCTGTAAGACTGACTCCGACGTGACTTTCACCACAGTGCTCAGATATACACTCACTGGCTAATGTATTAGGTGGACCTGTTCAATTGCTTGGTAACACAAAGTGCTAATCAGTCAATCACATGGCAGCAACTCAATGCATTTCTGCATATAGACGTGGTGAAGAGGACTTGCTGAAGTTCAAACTGAGCATCAGAATGGGGACTTTCACCACAGTGCTCAGATATACACTCACTGGCTAATGTATTAGGTGGACCTGTTCAATTGCTTGGTAACACAAAGTGCTAATCAACCAATCTCATCACAGCAACTCAATTCATTTAGGCTTCTAGATGTGGTGAAGAGGACTTCTTGCTGAAGTTCAAACCGAGCATCAGAATGGGGAAGAAAGGGGATTTAAGTGACTTTGAACATGGCATGGTTGTTGGTGCCAGATGGGCTGGCCTGAGTATTTCAAAAAATGTTGATCTACTGGGATTTCCACGCACAACCTAACTGCATGATATCCTTCTGAAGCACAGTGTTTCATAAACAATTGTTATACTTTTGCCTTTTGGACATATTGGTTTCACCTTTTTTTCATCCTTTGTTGCATCTAAGAGCTGCTGATCTCCTGCAACAGTTTTGGTCTACAAGAATTCATGGCTGCGTGACACTTCTCATGGCATATTTCCTATTGGTAGCAAAGGGTGAACTATACCTGAGCAGTGAGCTTTGGCACAGCCACTTAAGCTGGCCATAGATGGATTAAATTTCAATCCATCTATGGCTGTTCCCAATAGTTTGAAGTCAATCTAACAATTGGCTTCTTTTGAAAGGGAATGTTGGAAAATTGTGTGTTCAGTATTGCAAACAATCCGCTGCAATGCTGGTCAGGGTATTTGGATTCTGCGGTTAGAATACAGCAGCGCAGTAGGGAGGATTCCTCCATGTACCTCAGTTGTGAGGCTAGGGGAATACGTTTTTTTGTTTTTTTTTGTCATCAGCTGCCAGCCTAATGCCTAGTACATACGATGACAATTTCTGACAATTTTTTTTTTCTTTTGATTGCTTGCTAGTTTCCTATCAAGAATGAATAGGTTACGAAAACCCTCATAAGACCGAATATCATTTTAGAAGTAATAATAATGTATTGGATTGTAATGTATTCTTTCATTTCCGAGCATGTGCTGTCTCGGTCACTTGATTTTTTTTTTTTGTACAAATACTATACTAATTGCATGAAAATCATTTGTTCTGTTATCTTACAAGAAAATTTTTCATGCTTGTCCCTTCGGATTTTTTTGCATGAGCTGTCATGATCAGCTTTTGAAAGCTGTGTACTAACAATCAGATTATCGGACAATCGCTCCAAATGTTTTCTTTTTTTTTTTTTTTGGCCGATATTCTAATTGTGTGTCCTAGCCTTTAGTCTGCATTGGAAGTGCATGTGACAGGGCGCCAAAGCAGGAGAGCAGCTGAGAGACCATAACAAAACATTGTCACCAAGAAGATCAAGGACCTTTTGTGCAGGATACCAGGGATTATTTTAATGAAAGGTTTAAAAAGATTGAAAAACACTTTTGAAAGCACAGTAACGTGATAGATTTTTAAGCTGGCCAGCTGCGTCAAAGTAATCCCACTAAAGTGAGGGAGAGCTACTAATTTCAGGTCTGCCTACTGACTAGTACTAGTAGCCCTCCCCCACTTTGTGTCTATTTGCCCCAGGTTGGCATTGTGTCCACAGTAGCATTTGTGTTGGCAGAGCAGAGTAGGACTGGCCATAGAGGGATTACTTGATGCAGTTGGCTAGCTTAACTCCTTCACGCCGGCACCTCCCGGCCCTTTAAGGGTTTCAGAGGCCGGGTTTAGGGTCATATGACCGCTGTGTCACGGCGGTCACATGATTGGGAAAGGTCCCGATCAAAAGAGGAGATTGGGACCTTTCCGTGAGTACCAGAAATGTGTTCTGAGAGCGAGCAGAATGGCACAATCCTAAAACAAAACCTGGCAACAAGTAAACCAATGAAATGCCCCCTGTTTAAAAGTCTGCAACCCCTTAGTTCCTAATACTGTGTATTGCACCATTTAGCAT